TTGTATATATGAAGAGTAATGTATAAAGAGTGGTTAGGTGAAATTATTGAGGACAGACAATAGCAGAAAAGTTAAAAAATTGATGTAATTTTGACATTGACTTTATCGATTGTAATTTTATTATAGAATTTTTTTTAACTATAAATAAATTTAAAACCCAGTAATTATAACAAATAACAAAAAAATACCATGGAGGGAACTTAGGTAATATAAGAAAATAATAAATTAAAAAGTGTATTTTTACCTAACAACTTATAAGAAAATAGACTTAATGACTTAAAAATCTAACCAGTGTTTTGTATGAAAAAAATTTACAAAAATTTGCATGAAAAATTAAAACTATCTGTATGAAATTTTTTTTAAAAAAAATTAAAATATCTGTATGAGAAAAAAATTAAAAAAAATGCATGAAAAAATTTTAAAAAATCTAAATGAAAAATATTTACAAATCTGTAAGAATTTTTTTTTTTTTACCAATTTAATTTGGTAGTGATCGATCACTGTGAAAAACTACTTGAAAAAAATGACCGATTGCAGTCCCTTATGTCTTTCAATAACCCCAGATCGTTTTGGACCTTCACAAATAATAAAAGGTGTTGTATATATATTGGGAAAAATGTTTAGGGCATTTCAGTATATTTACATAAGGAATGATAGTTTTGACATTTTCAAAAAATTTACAGTTAATTCGTTATTTTTTGTATTGACAGAGTTAAAAATTATTTTTAAGAGGGTGTCTTTGATTTGAAAGTATAAAACAAATGAAGGTGCAGTAAAATTTCAAAATCGAGAGGGGTGTCGTTGAATTTAAACTTAATTAGAGAGGGTGTAAATAAAATTTTCCCTTAAATCAAACGTTAAGAAACGATGTGGCGAACTATGAACTTTTTAAGGTGTCCAAAAGTATAAGGAAACCATCAAATAATTTCACTAGTTCTCTGTACCATTAACTGGATAAATTCAACTTTAAAACAGAGCTTATATAACTTCCCAACCCATCAATGAAGCCCGGGACTTGGGGAAGGACAAGATTGATAAAAAAAACCAACACACACAATCACACAGATCTCAATCGTAAAAAATTGTACTACACATCAATGTGGCAAACATTGTTCAATCCTAAAAAATTGTCCTACCATCAAGGTAGCTATAAAGAGAGAAAAAAAATAGTTCAAACCTCAAAAATCCACTCCACATCAAGGTAGGTAGTTGGTATCCCACAAGACGAGAAATTGGTAGCTATTTGCCAATTTCATGGTTGCAATTGTTGCTATTGTGACACCAACTCCTGGATCTATCTCTCACTTTTCATGAGAATTGGACACTGGAGCTCAGGCCTGAATGCAGAAAACAAGTTGACCATTTATAGATCATGCTTAATTTAGAACCTAAAGCAGCATTCAAGATAGGACATTAAGATAAAATAAAGGAGATATCAGACAGACAAAAAATGGGGCCAAAAAAAAGAAATCAAACACAGTTGACGGAACATAAATCTCGTGTGTGAAATTAGGGATGATGAATTTGCCAATTTGTACTCATTTTTTGTTTTCCCTGGTTCTGTCTAATTACTAATCATGTTCATACATTTTGGACAAGAATGCTAACAATTTCTTTGAGTTATCTGGCAGTTTCATTACCACCCCTACCAAATAACAGTAAATAAGCACAATACAGAAAAGAACGCAAAGATTATTAGAACAGCTAACACGGGGTCTACCATAAAATATCAAGAAGGTCAGGCAGCTTAAGCATGCACCGTATCAAAGCAAAGCCAAACACGTATCTTCCACGCACACAGAGAGCCAAAGAAGAAAAGAAACAATTACATTCACATTGGCATGCACTACTCACATGACAAAAATAACAGCAAAACGAAAGAGGAAGAAAGAAAGAATTCTCAGTTGGGGATGAGACCCATCTGCTAATCAGTGCCACTAGCAAAAATCAAATTAGGAGCGCGTTGTCTATTTTAGATGTAGCTATGATGGAAGGTGAATCAACAAGTACAAGAGCAATGAAAAAGGCCGCAACAAGATACAGTGGAAAGGCCTTAAGAGATGGAAATCAGTCATGCGACGTAAATAACTTCGAAATGGAAGAGGAACCCAAATGCTGAAAAATATGTGATCCTAAGACGAGACCACATCTCACACATATAGGCCCTAATTAGGGGATAAATTTTTTATTGTTAAACTTGTCAACCAACTAGGAAGCTAATTTTCTGTTAACTGTGTTGACTAAAGAGATAGCCATAACTAACACATTTAATTATAATGACTTACATCTAGATCACCATTTTGTTTAACTAAACTGGCCTAGAACTGAATGTAGAAATGTTACTGCTAAACAGCAGTTCAAGGGCACGGTTCGCCAGGAGCAGGATTTCCCAACATCTTAGAGAAAAAAGAAAGTGAAATTAAGGCTAGAAAATCACAGCCTCCCTAAGACTTTTCATGCTTTCCAACAACGAAAACGAATAAAATGATGATGTAGAACAAAAACAGCAAGAAGGAGAATCGTTTTTAAAAGAAAATTTACTTGGCGAGATATTTTATTTTATTTATTTATTTGGTAAATAAGATCTTTTTGGTTTGACAAGCAAACACGATTGATTAAATGAAATTTAAAACAAGAGTAATAATTTAATGTGAGGTTATTCTACTAAATGCTCTGTAAACAGGGAAAAAAGAGTTTTTTAACAGAAGTCGTGGAAATAGATGCAATAATGATTTGGCAAGCTACTTCATGGCTTGATAGATGATTAAGCAAAACAAGTAATACTAAATAATCACAAGAAGATCGAAAAAGGCCAAACTATATGAATAAAGGGCAAGAAATACAAGCTATACATAAATGATCAAACCATCAGCAAATGGATCTATTTAACAGCCACCCGTGACAAATTTGCTTGGCACTCTTTTTATCCAAAAGGGGAACAGCTAGGAAATAAAATAGTTATCCACATTACGCCCTCCTTGCTTTGATGTATCCGAGAAAACCTACCAATGCACTATTTTGCTAATTTTACTGCCCATTTAGCTTTCCACAGTCATGTTTTTTTTCTTCACTGATGCACTTCTTCACTCTATGATTCACGTTTTCCTTTTATTTTTTTCGGTCTTTTAATGGACAAACTACCGAACTATTACTCAATGATCTTAACAATTTTTCATATTGTTCAGCACAACTCAAAATTCCATTATGGTCTTGTTTAATATCAAAAGAACTAATCAAATTAGGTGTGTTCAGTTTAATAATTTTCATTGAGAGGTGACGTGAAGATGGACAGTAAATTATAAAGGCCACGTCTAATAAATTAAAATCTTCAGAGATGATCAACTGGGCAGCAGTAACTTGGAATCAGCATAAGTTATAAAATGACAAATATCACATATTGGTTGCACCATTAAAACCAAGAATAATTTATAGAAAGTGAAAGAGATGTTTAAAAAATATCCAATCATCCTAATGTAACAATGTATAATACCCAAGAAGATGCACAGAAATTTACTGACCTGAATCTTTCTGAGAGTCAACCAGAGTGGCAAGGCCTAGGCTATTTGCTCCGTTATTTTCTGAACCATTATCTGCATCAAAACAAGGCAGACTTGTATTAGTTTGAACCTCAACCTGACCACCATCATCATTTTCATTTAAGGTATTGCTGGGTACAGGCATAACAGATGTCTCGTAGCTAGATTTCTGAGGCCTTGATTGGTTATCTACTCCCTTTTTCTCTTCAGCACCTATGCTTTCAGAAACTAATCCACCAGGACCCCAAGCTTTGCTTGCAATATCTGGAAGCTCAGCATCACCACAAGTATCATCTCCATTAGGTTCACATTTGTAAGTAGACACGAAAGCTGCATGATGATTTGGATTACCATCTTCTTTTGGGCATGAATAATGAACAATACCATGAGTCATATCCAGTAGCTGAGTATCCCAGTAGGTCGCATAAGCCCCACCATCTATATATGTCGGATAAGAACCCAGACTTCCATATGACACTGTACTATTTTGATAAAAATGAGGCATGCCTGAAGACGTCTCATAACCAACTCCATTATACACGCTGGAGTAAGCCCCTGTTCCATAATAGTAACCTGAACGCAGTGCACAAGCAGCACAACAGCTGAAGCAATTAGCATATGGCGAATAATCCCCAAAACCACCAAAAGTAGACCATCCTCCGAATCTCAATTCATTAATACACCTGTGCTTAGGTTTAGCCCTCTTTACCTCCACAAGCTTATTGTTCAGTCCATGATAACGCATTTGCAACACAATGTCTACAGTCTCCTCCGAGTCAAAAGTGATGAATCCAAAGCCCCTAGGCCTATTGTTTTCTTTGTCATAAATCATAATCACCTCCTCAATGGTACCGAATCTCTCAAAATACCTCTTGAACTCTTCCTTTGTCAAGTTAGATGGTAAGCCCCCAACAAAAATCTTCTTAGTTTTAAAGTGAGTATTGCAACCACCATAATAGGTGCTTCCACTAATGCCATGGTTCTCCTGTTGTCGAAGGTGAAAGCATGATTGGCAGCAACAGTTCTGTTGTCTCTCACCTTTGGGTCTCGCTACTTTCACTTCTACCTATATATAGCACTCTAATCATCATTCATCATGCAAAACTATTGACTAAAATTTGAAAGAAAAGAAAACAGACCCACAAAAATCCAGGTATAAACATTAAACAGTTAATAATTTGCTCATAGCCTCAAAACATGAAAACAAAATTCGAAAAAATTAATGATATAGTGATACCAAGATAAAAATCAGAATATGAATGAAAAAATTGATGAAAGAAGAGATTGGCCATTGTCTAACCAGTCTTCCAAGAATGGCGTGGCGATCCTGAAGGACTTTATCAACCACAGATGGGCCTTCAAACGTGACAAAGCCAAACCCCCTTGGTTGGCCTGTCATTCGATGTTTAATAACTTCACAGCTTTTCACTTTTCCATATTCGCTGAAATGCCATTTGAGCGCCTTTTCGTTTGTCTCCTCAGAAATTCCTCCGACAAACAATTTTCCATTCTTAGACTCCATTGGAGAACCAAATCATCAAAACAAATTTAATGAAAAATTCCAAGCAGAAGTCGAGAGGGGGAGAGAGAACACCTAAAGAGGAGAGAGTGAGAGGGGAAAGAAAGTAGGCAAACCGAAAATAACGGCATGTTGGATTTCATGAGATATATTCGTATGGGATTGAATTCCTTTTTTTTTTCTCCAACAAATTCAGTTCCACCCCCCCCCCCTAAATTTCACTTACAAATTTCCGTACCACATCATTTTTTTTTGTTTAATAATAAGGGGTGTCGGAGCTACCTTACGCGTATCTCGATTAATTCTTTTACTGGTTCGTTCAAAGTCAGACTATCCATGCCGGGACTAGAATATTCATGATAAAAAAATTTCTCTTGACTTTTGATAAAATTTGAGTTTAAAACTTTTGGTTTATAGGTCGTTTCTATTACTACTTGAGATATCCTTAGAGTTCCGTACAATATACAATTTTTTCAAGATTTTTTGTGTAATTTTTTAGTATTATTTATAACTTTGGGGGGATTTTCACAATCGATTCTAAATATTTACAATCAAACCCAACACTTGAAGATTGATTTTAAAATTACTTTAAGATTGATTTAAAAATTATGAAGATCAATCACAATCTCTCAAAAAGTTATAAAATTGATCTAAAAAATTATAACTCAAATCATTAAAGTTACAAAATTATCCTAAAAATTGTAATTTTTTGGAATTGTTCTAATTTTTTTTACTTGTATATGGACTCTAAAAACTTGTACGATAAGCCACAAAAACTATAAATTTGGGTATAACAAGTCAAATCCATTAAACTCTGAACACACTTTCCTTAAGTGGTAAATGATGCAAATTATGAAAAAAAGAAAAGAAAAAAATAATAATTAAGAGGTGTTAAGTGTAATTTTTTTTTAGTTCAACAATTAAGGGTATTCAAACCAACTTATGCACACTTCGACTAAACCTCTACTTGGTCTGATCAAAAACAGACTATCTACGCTGAGAGACTAGAACATTGTGATAAAAACTCTTATGGTAAGTAGGTTTGGATTTTATTCGGACCAAGTACAAAAAAATAGTGATATATGATACAAATTATGAAAAAAAAAGAAAAAATAAATAATTTAGAGGTGTTCAGTGTAATGAAGTATAGATCAAAGATTAGGTCCGCACAGCCCCAAATTTTAGACTTTAATAGTGAAAGTAGGCAAACCGAAATAAAGTGAGGGTAAAGAAAGTAGGCAAACCGAAAATAACGGCATGTTGGATTTCAAGAGATATATTCGGTATTGGATTGAATTTCTTATTTTTTTTTCCTCTGAAAATTCCAGTTTTACCCCCCTATATTTCACTTAAAAATTTCCATACTATATCATTTTTTTATTTTTTATTTTTTGATTCAACGGTAAGGATTGTTCGGATAAACTTACGCGCACTTCGAATAATTTTTTCTCAGATCAGATCAAAAATAGACCATCTACATAGAAATTAGGATATTCACGAAGGATAAATCTCTCATAGGTTGACATTAAGAGGTTGCTAAAAATTGAACTCAGAATGTCTGGATTTATACCTCGTCTATATTACCACTTGGAGTTTCTTACCATATACAATTTTGTAAGATTTTTTTTATATAATTTTTTGGGATTATTTATAACTTTTGTGATTATTTTTAAATTTTTTACTTTTATATAGATTCCAAAAAATTGCATGAAAAGCCATAAAAATTATAAATTTTGATATTATTCCTCATTCGATATCAAAGTCAAATCCATCAAACTTTGAACACTCTTTCCTTAATTATGTTCATTCATATCCTAGAAGGTAGAACAATCCTTGGCAGTGTGAAACTTATTTCGATAGTTACAGGATAACATAGAAAAAATAGTGGTAAACAATGCAAATTACAAAAAAAAAAAAAAGAAAAATAATTTAGAGGTATTAAGTGTAATTTAAACACTGATGATAAGTAGGTTTAGATTTTATTCCTTTAAGTCCTATTTGACTTACTAAATTCTCCAAATGTAATTATCAAGATATCTCAGTGATAACATAAATACTCACATACGGTAATTTATTTACGCAAAATGTGTGCGAAGATAAGCTTTCATCCGTTATTCCAAAGGTTTGGTATAGTGTTTGGATTAAAGTTTGATTAGTCTTCTTGAACTCTTGGGATTACAATATTTAAAAAAAATAAAAAGTAGCTGCCTACAAAAAAAAAAAAAAAAACAGCAGCGAATGCAAATGTCCCTTCTGTTGATAAAAAGAAAAATTTTTAAAAAATACCCCACATATTTAAATCATTACGGGCTCGTTTGGTAGACGTATTATGAGGGAATTAAACATTGGATTGTATTATTTTTTATTTAATCAGACCTAATACTTTATTTGGTAAGTAAATTTGACACTATATTAATTTCAAAAACATATACTTATCGTATCCTTATCGTATATTTTTTATACGTTAGACCTGTATTATAGAGGTATTTTAATACCACCAAAATAGGTGGTATTATAATCCAACTCAAACGTATTATTTTGCACATTTACCATTATAACCCTCTAATTGACAAAATTAAACTGTCATCAATGTAATAAACACTGATTGAAAGTATTTTTGTTAATTTAATATTAATACGATAAAATAATTCTTTAACCAAACAACCGATTGGATTAAATAATTACTATCCAACATTTATGTTGTGTGTTAACAAATATTAGATAAAATTATGTATTATTCTAATACCATATTTAGTCTTGTCTTTTGTCCTTTTGTATTATATTAGACCGAATTATTTTATTTAATCTATCCATTTCTAATATGGCAACCAAACGAGCCCTACAAGTAATAGGGAATTGTCAGTGATATGATATCATCTATTGAGATCCTACAATATTTGCACAATTAATTTACCTAAGACGAGACATTGATAAACATGGAAGGTTTATCATATTATATTTTAATAATTTGTATCCTATAAATATGGATACAATCCTTCTATTCATTCTATAGTTTAGATGAATTTTTTTTTTCCAGTGGGCAAGAATACCTAGACTAACTTACTATTAGAGTATTTATGAGAGATACATCATTCATAAGTTAACACTAAAGGATTTAGATTATCTCTCTTAACCTAATTTCAGAGAATTTTCAAGATTTAAATTTAAAAAATTTGAGTTTAAAAATCTTTGTTACTATTTGAATTACTCTTACGTTAGTTTAAATGTAATTCATATGACTTAATCAGTAGATGTAAATACGATGTACCGATAGGTAGTCTCTAAAGTCAAGTCATGCCGATGCTACATCTGATGTGTTCACTAGTAACTCAATACAAGGATTTCATGCCAATTAATAACCCAAAATTATAAAATTGAAACTAAATTCCAATAATTGTGATGAATTAAGTGAGAAAATCAAGTTCAAATAACATAATTGTTGTATAATAATACCACAAAATCTTCCATTCTTATCATCAACTCACATATTGTGGGATCTCAGTCCATGGTATCACATCACAACGATTAAACTGTACAGATATTAGATCCGTATACAAAATTTACTACTTTTTTTTTTAGGGGGGGGGGGGGGGGGGAGGGGGGATTCCAATATGAATAAGGGCCTTCCATATGAATGCTGCTCCCAGAAATTATTGGCGAAGCTTCATGCAACTGGAACTTTGCAGCAGACATCAAAGATATCATCTAAAGCGGCATGATCTCCTGTACCTTCGTCCTTCCGTGCGTACAACAACTGTTTTCCTCTAAACACAAACATGCCTCCCTAGTAAATGGAAAAACGGAAATGAATTGAGCAAATTGGTAACCCAAATCAAGGGACCCTTGTGTGAATATTGGGAGGGGCAGAAAGACCAAACCTGTTGCAAGACGCTACTTCTATCATCTGGTGTGGCTTCAATGGTATAATTCTTTAGAGCCTGCTGCAATGCATCAAATCTTGAAAACACCTTAGCCTGTGATACCATGGTTATGATGTAAGAACATATGCGTCACACCATACGATGCAGATAATTTCATATCTTAGATAGCTTCATAAAAGAGAACAATAATTGAGGATTACACTAGCTGGGTTGAAAAATGTTCGGCCAAAACCATAATACAAGCCCAAAACATCATATGCCTGAGACACAGGAAATCATCAGTAATTAACATGGCAAATACAATAAAACTCAAATGACATGGTTAACAAAGACACGACTCTTCTTACTTTGCGGTCAGGATCAGCATAAAGGCAGTCCAATGGAAATGGTAGCTGGTCAAAAATATCAGCAAGAATCAAATATATAGGGATAAGAATCAGATATAAGGATCAAGAAAGGACATCTTTAATGATCAAAATAAGGTTGATCATTTTGTGTAGCAAGATGATCAAACAGTTTTGATGTGATCCATGGTATAGTTAGCAACAAAACTAATGGTTGATTGTAAAAATGAAGCATACCAATATTTGCCATTATAATGTAATCTTTACGAAGCTGGATTGGCAATTCCTAGCTGACAATTCATTTACCTTTTTTCATGTAGAACATGATTGATGCCTTGTTTGGATGTCAAACACAATTACTTTGGAACTTCATCATTTATCATGTACCATAGAATAAGGGATGCATGCCAGGTGATAGTCAAGTGTTAGGTCTATTCAAACACCAAAAGTTAGTCCACTAAGGCATGGCTTAGAAGTCGATATCTTTCTATATTCTACTTCCAATATCCTGAAGGTTATACTAGTGCCTGCAGCACATAGGATGTCCAACATAGTATGCTGCGATTGTCTTCATTGAATAATGCAACAAGGAAACCAGTAAGCAAAATTACAGTGGAAACATAATCGAACAGCCCGTTATCTCTTCCTTTTGTTGGACAGTCAATTGGACCTGCATCTAAGGAATTGAAGTCTAACAGATGCCCATGCCCCTGCTGCAACATGATCGACACTAGTTTTTTGCACACACTAAAGAGCAAAACAAACAAGTCGAGATAAAATGCAGATTATTATCAAGCAACTTCATATATTCAGATGCTTTTAGCTAAGATATTAGACTTTATACAATAGCTTGGTTGTACTTGATATAAAGTTAACATCTTAGTCCAGATTTCGCAAGCCAAAGGTAAGGGGTATTTTGAACAATTCTCTTAGCACACCAAAACCTTCAAATTCACATGCCTTCAAAACAAACTATGTTTTTTTTTTTATGCAAGAAAACATAAAACCCTTAAGCTTTCAACAGAAAAAATATCATTGCAATATTTGCAGTAATACAAGTAGCTGAATTCATCATGTCCCCTGTCATCCAATCACAACTGGGGATGCTACTTTGAGCATTAAGAATGGGGGAACAAATTGATGTGAAAGGAATCACAAGGGACTAGCAGAACAAAAAAATATGATGATTTTGAAGATATAATCAATACAATTCTTCATCTAGTACCATGCTGATATGGAGGAAATACAAAGAAATTAAGAGAAAATCAAAGAAAAGAATCCTTTGGCTCAGACTTAACCTAGCAAGTCTACAAGTTTATCCATCTAACATAATCACTCAAATTTTAGCAACAAGGGATTACACCCTTAACAGTTGAAAACAACACCTATCAAACAGAACTATAGAAGTACAAAGAAAATATAGCACCTTGTTTGGCAATATACAGAGGTTTCTCTTACAAAGTGATAGAGACAGAACTTCCTTCCCAAAAACTATAACGCAACAAACGAAAAAGGAACAAAGATTACCCGCTCTGCAAGGATGCGGGCTTTGTTAGGAGTTCCAACGCCAACAGCAATTAGCTTCACACCAGCTGAGTCGAACCTCGTTTTTGATTCTCTGAGAGCTGAAGCAAGTTCCCAGCTAAATTGTGCAAATCAAACGAAACAACAGGAAAAAACAAATCAACAAAAAATCCTCTTTTTTCATCCGGAAATTTTCCTCATCAGCAACAGTTTGGGATTATATACCAGCAAGGGCAACCGAAGTGCCTCAAAAGTGCGACGACAGCTATTCCCTGGAATTTCACAAGTTCAAATTCTCGGATATGCACAATTGTATAAAAACTGGTTAAAAGATTAATAAATTCCATGGAATTCAAGAATTAAAAATCTTTAAGTTCTTGGCTATGCACAATTGTATAATAACTGGTTAAAAGTGAATTAAGTAGTTACTCGACCTCGTTTGGATCCCAAAGGTCCTTGAACATGACAGGCTCACCGGAGGCAGTGAAGATGCTAACGTCACCAAGGATATTGGCGATGCTATCGGAGAAGCCGGCGCCGGTGGAAGAAGCTTTGGCAAGCTGAAATGATCGAGTCTGCTTCCTTGATTTTTCAGTGTGAATGGTGATCATGGAGTTGGAAGGAAGAGGGGGAGATTGTGTATGAAATGGGAATGATAATCGGTGAGACGATGAAGAAGAGAGAGAATTGAATTGAAGGAATGTTGGTGTTTGTGGAAGTATCATCGTCGCCATTGTTCCCGTATTCTTTGAAGGAAGCTATCGAAATCGAATCGAGTGCGAGCTATTGGGGGGTGGGGGTTGTGTGTGACCGAGAAAGCCGAGAGAAAACTGCCAAATTTTAGGACTAAACAAAGAACTTAAATTCCTGTTATTTTTGAACTTTTTACTAACACCATGGTTAGATTAAAGGTTTTAATCATAATATAATTTTATTAAATTATCAACGATATGTTTTAAGAAAAAATTTATTAATACTCTCTCTAGATAAGTATATATTTAATGAAATTCCTCTATTTTATAAATTTCTTTTCGTATTAAAATTCAGTTCGAACCGATTAAAATTAATTTTTAATTGACTCAAATTAAATTTAAATCAATTCCCATTGAATTTTAATTAGCTTGAATTTTAATACGTAAAAAATATAAATTTTAATTGACTCAAAATTTTAATATATAAAAAATAAACTTTAATCAACTCGAATTTTATATAGAAAGGTTGTTTGGGGTTTATGTAGGGACAATTTTGATATATTAGATAAATTATTTTTGTTAGAAATGGTGGTTTAATGACAAGAGTGTCAGTGATGTTTTGATTAATATGGAAGTGTCTTTGAAGATATAATAAAATAAAAGAGGTGTGGTTGAAATTTCTCTTTTTTTTTTAACGGTTAGAGGCGTCTGGAGTCAGCTTATGCGCAACTTAACTAATTTACTCTTCAGTCCGATTAAAGATAAATTATCTACATTAAGATTAGGATATTCATGAGAAATATCTCAAAGTATTATCAAAAATTTTTATTTTACAACTCGTCTTGCTTGAAATTACATAGGGAGTTTTGACACTTCTCCATCTCTCATTGTAAATATTATTTGAGCATTTCAATAAATTTTATCCGAAATAAGTCATCCAACATTTTAAGTTGAGTTAATGAGCAATTCAACATTATGGAATTGACTTCATGATGAATTATAAATTCGAAATTTTCAGGTTTAATTTTTTGTTTTTGACTATAATTTATAGGTGATTAAACATATTTGGAGTTTATCTTGAAATTATAAATTTGATATACCCTTGTGAAAAAGTTTATCGACGTTTAGTTCTTCCAAGTTATCTTAATTAAGATAAAAATAAATTTTAATTATCTAAACTCAATACCCCCAAAAATTCACTTCCCACCTCTCTCATCAATGAGTAAGAATTTAGTATAACGGTGATACTACCTTATAAATAAAATGTGAAATTATTGTTCAATAATAAAATATATAAGATAAGTGAACTACATTATTACAATATAGAAGTTATTGGAAGCTGCGGTTATGTAATTGTCCAATAGAATATCTAGAAAATGTATAAAATGATCACATTTCTTTATAGGAAAGAATATGTACAGTAGATGGACGAGTGGTTATCAAATTTTGCAAGATTCACTTCCCCATTTGTTCATCTATTATTTGAAAGTTACACTGCACGAGACTCTTCTCTTTCTCTTTCCCATGTGACTATGTCTATTCAAGCGAATCAACCCCATAAAAACGTCACAAACACTACTCCTGAACTACGAGGGATTACGGTCTTCTTCGATAGATTTTTTTTTTTTTTGTAGATTATTTATCATACATTTAATTAAAATTTATTATACATAAGTTGATCTGTCATTCATTAATTGTGAATAATTCGCCAAGAAAAAATTAAAAAAAAAATTGTATTGGACGGTATTTGAGTCCAACTATTAGTAATGGAACCATACCCGGCCCATAATACGCATTCGTTTTATTTATGGGTTTTATCATACATGGGCAGCCAATGGATCTTTGCTGGGTTTGTACCCGGGCTTAGTCCATTACCATATCAATGGCCCACCAGTTGACAAGTGTGCTCCAACAATGACCAGAATACTACAATAGTCAAATTTTGAACTAAATGTGGCATACCACCCACCAATCAAATTTTCTTGGGTTCTCTCTTTTTTTTTTTTTTTTTGCCTATTAAAAGAGGAGAGGGACGACCAGTGGATAATAGCTTTCACTGGACGTGACCATGAGAATTTCCTCAGTGTGAAATATTTAATTTGAACCATAATTACTAATTTAGAAAGACAATCAATCATCACAATATCGTCAAAATTAAACAATAAATCTTGTTACTCTCGTGAATTGAATTTTGCTTGATAATTATATGAGAGTTGGGAATGATCATAAACAAGTACAACGACTTACCACTTGGCCACTAATTTGGGTGGTGGGTTCTCTTATTTATTGGGTGTGAAACTATGGCATCATTTGAACCGTCAACTTTAATGTCAAATTTTCGTCAAACTAGATCCCCAAAAATGGCACTGCAACAAAATGGTTGCTAGGATGTTGGATAGGGGTGATATTTTTATAACTTAAAATTGACATAAAATTAATGATTTAGGATCGATTAATTCTTGACATATACTTAAAAATAAATACAATTTACTAACACGAATAATAAAATGAATTAAGTAAATGTCAAAACACGAATAATTCGAAGTTGACAAAATAACACATTTAACATGTATAGTATAAATA